GCGTGCGAAAAAAAACGAAGAAGATTTTCGTTTCTTTTGCATGTTTTGATCGTTGGGCTTAGCTTAGCGCCGCCTTCAGGAGATGCTTCACCGATTGATTAATGTTTTAATTAATTGATTGTACTTCTTCAGAATTATTTAGATGGGCATTACTTATTGTTAATATTAGATATTTGCTTAGGTCATATAATTAGCAAGGAGAGAGAATAACTGTAACAAGGAGGAGAATGGCAAGAAATATAAAGAATGAGTGAGAGAGAGAGAGAGAGAGAGAGAGAGAGAGAGAGAGAGAAAGAGAGAGAGAGAAAGAGAGAGGGGGGGGGGGGGGGGTAGACCAGGTAGTAATGTATGTATTATTAAATAAATCAAAATAAGCAGGCTATTTGCTTTTGTTGCCACAATCACCATTTATTTGGCATATATACGTGCATATAATATAAGTATATATATATATATATATATATATATATATATATATATATATATATATATATATATATATATATATATATGTATATATATATATATATATATATATATATATATATATATATATATATATATATATATATATATATATATATATATATATATATAATATATATATATATAAACATATATATATATATATGTGTGTGTGTGTGTGTGTGTGTGTGTGCGTATGTAAATGTATATATATTTTATTCATTTATTCATTTATTTATTTATATCTAATAATCATAATTATACATATATTTATCTGTCTATCTGGTTATTTATTTATCTTTGCAAATGACCTTTGTCCAGCCCACCAAGCCCTGAGAAAGCTGAACTCCAAGCCCTTCTCGTAGATGACTGCAGTCCGCTCAGTGGATGGATGGATCATCTCAGGTCATGTTGGGGTTCGTGAACGCTGGGCTGAGTACTCTGAGCAGCGACATCAAGCTGACCCTCCAACAGTTAGTTTGGACGCAAGTGGTGTCGTCATTCTTGTGCCAGATGAACCCATCAACGAAGAATCTCCTCCGATCGACGTTGGGGAGGCGATCTTTAAGCTGAAGGATGGTAAAGCAGCCGAACTTCTAAAGGCTGGTGGTGAACCTATGGCATGGGCTTACACGTTGTCCTGGCTATCATCTAGCAGTCCGGTACCTTTCTTCGGACATGCTGAGGGGGGTGTTCATCCTCTCTGAAAGGAGAAAGGAGACTTCAGAGCATCACACTGCTCAGCATACCAGGCAAGGTTCTCGCTCACATTCTACCGTGATCACCTACTATGGCACCAGAGACTAGAGCAATTTGTACTAACTACTGGAAAGACCACAATAGACCATATCCTAGCACTTCGAATCATTGTGGAACGCCGTCGAGAGTTTGGCAGCCTACATCGACTTCAAGAAGCTATTTGACTCAGAGCATCGCAAATTCCTATAGGAGACCCTGAGACTTTGGGAATTCTAACAAGGATTATTGAACAAATAATCAAACCTATATACTGGTACTGAAAGTCCTGTGAAGCGTCGTGGGGTCCTGTCAAGCTTCTTCACTAAGTAGCAGCTCTTGATGCATTCAGAAAGAGGCAAAGCCCTTGGGATGTTGATGCCATGAGCTTTACATACCTTGGTAGTGTAGTACATGTTGACGGATTAGCCTGGCAGAAGGAGCCAAGAATATTTGGAGATGCAGGTACCTGTGCAGAAGGGCCAAGCTGTGTGTCTTCAAGTTGATACTGCCAATTTTACTTAATGAAAGTGAAACCAGGCTGCTACCTAATGCCTTGAAGTCGCGTCTTGCAACAGGTCCTTGCACCGGATCATGGGGTATAGTTGGCAGGACCATGTGCCCAATCAAGAGTTACAACACGAGACCAGCATAATCTATATACAGGCACCTAGCTCATTTCCATAAGGACGCCCCTGCCCATCAGGTTGTCCTTTCATGAGACAACCCTGGGTGGAAGAGGAACATGGGACAACTTAGGAAGTCGTGGCTTGGGCAGATCAATCAGACCTGTCACGAGAAGCTAGAGATGGGCCAAGAGCCTGCCTACCAGCTTGTCATGTTTGTGTTTGTGTGTATGTGTGATAGACAAACAGAAAGATAAATGGGTGGATGATGAACAGATAGATAGATAGATGGATAAATAGACAGACAGACAGAAAGGCAAGTAGACAGACAGACAAATAGATAGATAGATGACAGATTGACTGATTGATTGATTGATTGATTGATATATAGATGGGTAGACAGATAGACAGACAGACAGACAGATACAGATATATACAAAATTCCTTTACTAACAGACAAAGATAAAAAAAGACTCATATTCAATTCATATTTATTCAACTCCGATGATATGCTGCATCAAGACAGTTTCAAATAAAAATGGATATAGAATATAAGAACTGACATAATATAATAACTTTACCTAAACTAGTCAACAAAAATATGATACAGTAATTAAATAGCCATCCAAAGGGTATACAGCTTGAGCATTCTGTTTGTCATACTGCTCATTGTCGTACAAACAAACTGTTACGGTAAAAAAATATTAGACTTCGAGATATCTAAATGGCACCATGAGCACATATCTACTGTGTAATTATTTGATATTATATTACAAGAAGAAAAGAAAAAGATATATACAGAAAAAAATGCAAACGAAAATTAGTGAGTAAAAAAACCTATGTTACAAAGAGATTCTGATAATAACTGGTAATTAAGCTTATCCATATGTATTTTCCTTTATCTTATCACCCTCTAACAGTATAGAAAAAATGTCACATAACCAAATACAATACACAATACTGATTCTGCAAAATGCAACATCAAAAATCACACAAAACAGAACCCAACATACAACAAAAGCAAATGCAAATCAAATACTAAATGCCTTTTTGTACTAGTTCTATTTGTAGCATCACACTGTTGGCTGCACAACTGTAGTACAAATTCTTTCACTTTATTCTTTAAACACATCTATGAAAATGATATGTGTATTTTACATTTCAGTCAGTGCATTGCATATACAAATACATTTGCAGCTTATAATATACTAAACAATGTCTATTTGTATAAGTGACTATCTTTTAATACTGAAAGAACCACTTGAATCAATATTCATTGTTTTTGCATTCTCTGTTTCCATAATCCTAAATCACTTCTAGTTAACTACAATATGATAATATTTCTTCTCAACGCAATTCCTTGTAACCCTCCTTAACTTCTAATGTAAATTAGATTTTTTAATGGGATGATACTCTTTCCTTTAGTTAGCATTTCTAATGTCACGCTTAGAACATTTGTTATGATCAATGCTTTTTATGATAAGAAGAGCAAGAATTGTTTTACAGCTCTTATTCATTTCCCCTAAATACTGTTCACTAGTTTCATAACTATATATATGCAGCATTTAATTGTTTAAAAGAAGGCAATCTACTGGAAAAATTATATGCACTGATTTTCAAGCATATAATCTGCCATGATATGTCATATTCCTTAAAGAACATCACACTGTGAAAAAAATATCCCATAAGAGGCCAACCCTAAGATGTGATCTTTACTTCAAGTAAAATGGGCAGTGTTTGCTTTCATTGGTCTGTCTTTAACTACAAGAGAAAAAGATTATATCACAGTGGTCCATTCACACAGAAAGGCACAGTTATTGTGGCAATGTACAACCTTTTCCATATCTCTCTCAGTTAATGTAGGATCTAATATCAAAGATATAAAAACTTTCATGGGGGTGTGATTATCCACAAAGATCCTGATAATTCACATGAAAACAAGGCCAAAATAATAATGATAATAATAATCAATATATAGTGCTTCAGCAACAAATACATATAAAAGATAAAATTTCATCCTAAAGCATGATTGTCTTAATGACTCTAACCCCCACAAAAACCTGACATGAATACAGAAAATAAAATAATATCAATAGCCATGGATGTCCTTCCTCCAACATTCTCAAAGCAGCTACTCTTGCACAAGCAACTCTCCTAAACACTAATCTAGACTCTACAATTCACTGTGGCCTTTTGAGGTCGATGGCTCCTTCCGCTGCTGCCTTTCCATAACATTAGGGCTGTCATCGAGCCACTGGGCGTAGATTTCACGAGGGTCAATCATCCAGTGCTTGTGGAATGAGATGAGAGGTTCTGGCTGAAGCAGCTCTGGGGGGTAATCCATGGGGCGGCTCTAGGGGCACAAGGGAGATGGTTAAGCTCGAAAAAACTATTGGCCTGTGAAAATAATCTTGGATCTTAATCATTTGTCAAACAGAAAGGACCAAAGGAAGCAAAAAATAAAATAAATGCAGCAATAGCAATAGGAGAAACAGAAAGAAGAGCAAGAGCAACAGGAACAAGAACAAGAATAAGAAACAGAGGAAAAAGGCAAAGAGGAAAAAAAGTAAGAAAATTCAATTATATACACAACAGACCTGGTGGAATCCTTCTGCATGAGTTACTGGCACTGAGAGACGTGCCAGACATACCCCAAGGAACATATCGTCTGGGGTGTCTATGGTTGGACAGCTGCACACATCAGGGTCTGCAAGTTCTTCCACCTACAAGAAAAAGAAACAAGGATGAAAATGACAACAGACTAAAAAAGAAAAAAAAAAATAGCTTTGATGACTTAGATTTCAGTGGGGATACTTTTCCTTAATTCAGTTCTACTTTCCCTTACTTAACATGTGAAACTTTCTGGAAATTTGTAATTTCTAGTTCAATCAAATACTCAGGTACCTATTCATTAAATTTCAACTGACTTCCCCTAATTACATGCCCTCTCAACCTTAATGATTCATTCAAATAAGTAACCTTAATCATGTGACCACACTTAATAATTACATCACTCTTTACCAACTGAAGACCAAAATCACTACAGTAAAATAATTAATTTCTCATGAACTTACTTTCAGCATGTACTACATCTCTAATGAACCTTTACCCAACATGTTTTTCTAATTGAGAGAACCTATTTCTGGACCCTCCCATTAATTTATTTTCTCAATAACACTGCTGAATTTTGTATTTCAATCTATACCCTTCATAAGATGCTTTAGTTTTGCATCACAAACTCCCTTATGCTTAAAGGGGAGGACAGTATTTTCTTTCTGGCAGTGAAAGACTTAAAATCTAAACATCTGGCTGCATACTACAGCTGCAACAACCAATATGGCTACCATGAATCCTAGCAATTTGTTAAAATAGATTATCTTCAAATAATTCTAATCAACTTTCCTTGATTCTGGTTCCTCTTACCAGTGCACGACTGAAGATCATCCCGCCCCCTCCAGTGATGTAGTCGTAGCCATGTCTTTTGACTGCCATGTAGCCATACCGCTCTCCAATGGCAACCATTTCATCAGAATCATAACAGGCCAGAAGTGACTTCAGACGAGGAATGCTATTTTGGTGGGAAATGGAAGAGAGAACACTGGTTTTAGTTTGATATCTTGAAAAGACATTTTTGTGTGTTTTTTAGCTAACAGACCATAAGCAATTACCAAAAAATACATATAACCTGTTCTTGTAACACTATAATATACCACATTTGCATACAAATATGTAACAATGCTCATAATCTTTTGTATGTTCTGTATCAAACAGCCATAATGGACTCTAATTTTGCTTTGCACAAAACCAACCTGATAAGGGTGTCATCATCAACAATTGCAAGCCACTTCATAGATGTATCAAGATCCTCCACATGGCGTATGATGGCAAGAGTTTTCCCACAGTGCCCCCTTTCTGTGTTGGGGATGCCGAGAGAAACTGTGCCCCAGTCTGGATCTGCAGGAGAGGGTGAAATTAAACTGGGTCCAAAGTTTTCATAAATATTTTCCTTCCTTCCTTCCTTCCTTCCTTCCCTCCTTCCTTCTTTCCCTCCTTCTTTCTTTCCCTCCCTCCCTCCCTCCATCATTTCTTCCCCCCTCCATCTCTTCTCCCTCCCTCCCTCTCTCCTCCCTCCTTCCTTCCCTCTCTCCTCCTTCCTTCCCTCTTTCCTCCCTCCTTCCTTCTCTCTTCCCTCCCTCCCTCTCTCCTCACTCCCTCACTCCCTCCCTCCCTCTCTCCTCCCTCCCTCCCTCTCTCTCTTTCTTTCTTTCTTCCCTCTCTCCTCCCTCCTTCCCTTCCTCTCTCCTACCTAACTCTCCCATCTTTCCCTCTTTTCTCCATCACATTCCCTCCCTTCCCCCTCCCTCCCTCCCTCCCTCCTTTCCCCTTTTCTCTTTCTTTCTCTGAATTTTCACATTCTTCCCTCCCTTTCAATCCTATTTTTATCTTATACATGCATAACCTAATATAACACACAACATAAATGCAAATTCTGCAATGCACAACACCACACCTTCTCTGTCACTATAAAGGCCATGGTTGGGGGCATCAGGAAGCCAAGTGTCTTTGATGACAGGAAGTCGCTCGTCGTGGAAGTGTGAGCATGTCTTCACTGCCACGTGGATTTCCTCCGTCTTCAGCTCCCCATCTTGATCCAGTACCTATAGATGTAATGCAATAAATGAATCATTTAATGAACTACAATAGTCTATTTTCAAAGCATGAATTCTGAAATGCAGACATGTGAATGTTCATAAGGCATATCATTTTAATTTTAGGGATAATCACCCTTCATTATCCACTTAGTATATATAAAATGCTAAAACTTAAGCATAATTCCTTACTGCCTCTACAATCTCAAGATGTGTGCACATTAAAATATCAATGGCTGCCTATAACTGCTATCTACCACAAATGTATTGTAATACTGTCAGATTTAAATACCACTAAATGTAAAATTGGACTAGGGATACAATTCACTGAAACTGTGGTATAACAAAATAAAAGATTAAAAAGAAAATTAAGGCTGAAATAATATGTAAGCCACATTATGTTTAATTAATTTCATTTAAAATATACAACTCTTACTTATCATCAGTATATCAACATCCATGTCTAATATTAATAATTCACCAATATTTCACACTCGGCAAAACTCACGCAGGTTTTACGAGGTTGGAAGGTGACAGCGCAGGTTTCCGCTTCACCTCCTACACAGAAAGTACGCTCATTGGTGAGCTTTATTCCCGCTGACTCTACAAAGCGAGCAAATTCATACTGAGCATCGATGGTAAAATCAATCTTGGGTCTTGTTGTTGCATCTAGCCATCTCTTTGTCAGTCTGTAAGGCAAGGATTAAATAACGTGTGGTAATAATGACTACTCAGTACTATATATCTTTGTATGGCAACATTTCTATGCTTATTGTATGTCAATGAGACAGGAAATATTATTCAACACTAAGAAAAATATCATAATTATCAATATTTTGCAATTCAATAAAAAAGGAGAAAATAAAGTAGATCTACACAACACATTGTTACACTCAAGGGGGTGAAATCTATATTTGCAGATATTCAAATAACATTTGCTATGACTTAGCAATACTCAAAACAATGTAAATACACATACAAAACCATCCCTTTTCCTCTCTTGGCTTACAGTCAGAGATCTTCTT